GAGGGCAGTGTCACTGGCCCTCATATGTGGGATCCGAACTGGGGCCCTCTGGCGTCCCAAGCCAGCTCTTAACCAATGCACCACTTGGCTGGCCCCAGACACATCGTTTTAATTGCTGTGTCCGTCTTCACGTGGCCTTCTCCCCTGTGTGTCTCTGCATCTGAATTTCCCTCTTATAAGGACAGCGGTCATTAGATTAGGGTCATACTTCAGTATGACCTCATCTTAACTAATTACATCTGCAATAACCCTATTTCCAAATGAGGTCATGTTTGCAGGTGGTGCAGTGGGGAGAGGAGGAGGGAGTGGAGGGGAGGTGGGTTAGGATTTGAAGGAATCTTTCTGAAGGACACAATTCTACTCTCTACAAGGCTCAACAGAGAAATTAAGTACTATAGTGACCCACTCAATCACCCATGAATCCTGATATCTCCATTTTGCAAAGGAGAAAAAACTGAAGCCCAGAGAGGTTAACTGACTTGCCCAAATTCACACAGTTACTAAATGTCTAAACTAGGATTTGCACCCAGGTCATCATGTTCCAGGATGTAGCCTTATAACCCTTATACCATAACTCCCAGATCTAAACTAGGTTTCTTCCATTGAACTGCACATGTAGTGTCATTAGTTGGGCCACCCCTTGGACCCAAGCTTGGAGGAAGGCGTATCCATTCCAGAAGTGGATTTTGGCTCTCGCTTCTGAAGAAATCAGATGTATTAGCTAGTGTTACAGAACAAATTGCCCCCAAACTTGGTGGCTTGAAACAATGAGCCTTTATCATCTCACAGTTTCTGGTGGGCAGGAATCTGGAGGTGGCTTTGCTGGTTTAATGTTGGGTCACTGATGAACACTGATCCACGTTACAGCTTTTCTTTCTCCCCTCTTCACAGTAAGTACCTTCTGCCATCCAGAATGCAATTGAGAAATCTCAGTGAGGCCCCATCACTTTCTCTCATGTGCCCCTAATCCTACTCACCACCCTTTGATATTTTGTATTTTATTTAATTCTTCCTTGTCTGTCACGCTCATGCATTGCCGGAAGGATGACTGCATGGACATTTATGTCTATGCATGTGAATTTTTGTGTGTGTTTGTTTTCCTAGGATGCCTGTGTCTCAGTTTGGGGTCCAGTGTGGTTTCGGACCCTCCAGGGGATCTTGCATGTTTTGACACTCTTCCCAATTGGGCCTATGCAGGGTAGGGGTGCTGAGGTTGTGTTTTGACAGTCAAGCCATGGCTGTTTTAGGCTGTTAAAAGCTTCCCAGCAAATTTGCAGTGGGCCGATTATTATTTTAATGGCGTCAGTGAATGAAGGCAGTGACTTTATCCCAGTGAGACCCCCCCTTTCCCCCAGCCCACCCAGCATGGAGAGG